CCTCTAGCCCTGAGGTTGGTGACTCACCTACCGAAGGGGAGGTTGGTTGTTACCCTGTGCCTCTACTGGCTGACCCTGCTCTCTCTGATTGCATCTGCACGTTGACCGAGGGCCCTCCAGAGCACTCACCTGCGCCAGTCTACAGTCTAAAGCGTTCTTGGTTTCAGTTTTCAGGACTGACCAAGTATCTTTTGCTAGTTGCGTGTGTCTGTCTGATGTCAAACGCAGCTAAGCTTCCTCCACAGCCTCCTCTAATGCGACTGTACAAACTTGGGCACTCTTCGGGTATCATGCTCCGAGAGCACCCAGATCTACTGATGAGTATCTACCGCCTGTTCACACAAAAGATTTGTGTTCAAATTGACCCCGCAATGGCATGCACTAAAGAAATGATGATGACCCTGCCGCTTCACCTGCTGTACCAGTCAGTTCAGTCCAGTGCCACTCCGGCTTGCACTAACGAGCAGTATTTGCAGGACCTGAAGATCCATCTGCCTGCAGCGTTTTCTTTTGCACAGACACATCTGGAGAAATCAGCTGAGGGCAGGAAGGCTTATTATGACCAGAAGGTCTCACATTTTGAACTCAGTGTGGGTGATGAGGCCTGGTTCTACATCTTTGTTCCTAATTCCAGTCACACAAAAGTCACCTCTGGTAAACTGGCTAAGAAACTTCGACCGAAGTGATCAGGTCCATACCTGATAACTGAAAAACTCTCTCCGGTTGTGTATCAGATCAAGATCACCGAAGGAAACAAAGATCCCGTCTATAAGTGGGTCCACAGGAACCAAATCAAATCGCTCAAGGGTTCCACTAATTTGGATGATGTTACAACCCAAGACTCTGATAACCCAACTCGATTCGAATCAAAAGAGGGGTGAATGTTCCGTCCGCTCTCGCTCGGTTCTCTGATGTAAGTCACACAGGTTCTGTAGAGTGTGTGTGTGTGTGCGTGGATAGACTTCATGTCTAAACATAACATACAGACTTGGTTGACTTTGTTGTGGTCATGCTGTGGGTTTTCTATAGTTGTATGACTGAGTTCATAACAGCTAACTATGAGTAACTCCACTAACTGTTATGTCTTCTTCGTCTTCGTCTTCCTCCGCTTATCCGGGTCCGGGTCGCGGGGGCAGCATCCCAATTAGGGAGCTCCAGGCCGTCCTCTCCCCGGCCTTGTCCACCAGCTCCTCCGGCAGGACCCCAAGGCGTTCCCGGACCAGATTGGAGATGTAACCTCTCCAACGTGTCCTGGGTCGACCCGGGGGCCTTCTGCCAGCAGGACATGCCCGAAACACCTCCCCGGGGAGGCGTCCAGGAGGCATCCTGACCAGATGCCCAAACCACCTCAACTGGCTCCTTTCGATCCGGAGGAGCAGCGGTTCTACTCCGAGTCCCTCCCGAATGTCCGAGCTCCTCACCCTATCTCTAAGGCTGAGCCCGGCCACCCTACGGAGGAAACTCATTTTGGCCGCTTGTATCCGCGATCTCGTTCTTTCGGTCATTACCCAAAGCTCATGACCATAGGTGAGGATTGGGACGTAGATCGACCGGTAAATCGAGAGCCTGGCTTTCTGGCTCAGCTCCCTCTTCACCACGACAGATCGGCTCAGCGTCCGCATCACTGCAGACGCCGAACCAATCCGAGGAGTTTGGTGAGGCCATGGAGAAAGACTATCGATCGGCTCCAAAGAGGTTCTGGCAAACTGTCCGGCGCCTCAGGAGAGGAAGGCAGCAACTCGCTCACACTGTTTACAGTGGGGATGGGGAGCTGCTGACGTCAACTGGGGCTATCGTCGGACGGTGGAAGGAATACTTTGAGGAGCTCCTCAATCCCACCAATGCGCATTCCGAGGAGGAACCAGAGCTGGGAGGCCTGGGGATGGACTGTCCGATCTCGGGGGCAGAAGTTGCTGAGGTAGTCAAACAACTACACAGCGGCGGAGCCCCGGGGGCGGATGAGGTTCGTCCTGGGTATCTCAAGGCTATGGATGTTGTAGGGCTGTCATGGTTGACACGTCTCTACAACATTGCGTGGTCATCGGGGGCAGTTCCTAGGGAGTGGCAGACCGGGGTGGTGGTCCCCATCTTTAAGAAGGGTGACCTGAGGGTGTGTTCCAACTATAGGGGGATCACACTCCTCAGCCTCCCTGGAAAGGTCTACGCCAAGGTACTGGAGAGGAGGGTCCGATCGATAGTTGAATCTCAGATAGAGGAGGAGCAATGTGGTTTTCGTCCTGGCCGTGGAACTGTGGACCAGCTCTATACCCTTGCAAGGGTGATGGAGGGGGCATGGGAGTTTGCCCAACCAATCCACATGTGCTTTGTGGATTTGGAGAAGTTTTATGACCGTGTCCCCAGGGGCACCCTGTGGGGATGCTCCAGGAGTATGGGGTGGGTGGCTTTCTGTGAAGGGCCATTCAGTCCCTTTACCAGAGGAGCGTGAGTTTGGTCCGCATAGCCGGTAGTAAGTCGGACCTGTTCCCAGTGAGGGTTGGACTCCGCCAGGGCTGCCCTTTGTCACCGGTTCTGTTCATCACTTTTATGGACAGAATTTCTAGACGCAGCCGTGGTGTGGAGTGTGTCGAGTTTGGTGGCAGGAGAATCTCGTCTCCGCTTTTTGCGGATGATGTGGTCCTCCTAGCTTCATCCAGCTCTGACCTTCAGCTCTTGCTGGGTAGGTTCGCGGCCGAATGTGAAGCGGCTGGGATGAGGATCAGCACCTCCAAATCTGAGACCATGGTTCTCGACCGGAAAAGGGTGGCTTGCCACCTCCGGGTCGGGGGAGAGGTCCTACCTCAAGTGGAGGAGTTTAAGTATCTCGGGGTCTTGTTCACGAGTGAGGGTAGGAGGGATCGGGAGATCGACTAACTGTTATGTTTGATCCAAATTCCATGTTCTTTTATTTTTCAATTCCTAGTGATTTTGATCATGTTTGCAATTTTTATACATTTTATGACTGATTTAAGTTCATTTTATCCTTCGTTTTATCGACTAATCTCTGATTCCTACTGTGGTACATTCACATATAGGTTTAGTTACTAATAACACTGATTTACATTTTAGCGTTTCTTCTTCTTTATATTATTACTTCTTTTATATTATATATATATATATATATATATATATATATATATATATATATATATATACACACACACACAGTTATGGGCTACAGATTATTTTGCCCTTCTCTTTTGATAACATTTTAGCTCAGAAGCATTGATTTTCCCTTACATATATTATAGGGTTTTGTTAATTTTGTTCTTTTTGCAACACTTTTCCATTACACGTAGTTTTCATCCATTTCTTTCACCTGGACTCTGGTCACATGATTTGCTTCACATAGCACATATATGTACATATAGTGCTAGGTTTCTTTTTATTTGTTATTTTGCATCAGGTGCGATCTATGTGTGTCTACATTCATGTGCCCTGCATGTGTGCTCTTCTCCTGAGTTTCGCCGGTGGTCCTCGCTCCCTGAGAGGACCTCTCTGCCTCATCGCCTGATTCTGCTCCCTGCTGCCTGTGGGTCCGGTTCATTGGGTCTGGACGTCCTGTGGTTCCTGCCGTGGTTGCTGGAGTTCTACGGTTCGTCTGGGACCGGGTCCGGTCCCTGCTCGTCTGCTTGTGACTAAGGGTTACGCTAAGTAACGTTATCATTTACCGTTGACTATTCTCCGGTGTGGGGCTTTGCCTTTCCTCACTCCTGATGCCTTTGCCTGGGAACTAACATTTCGTCCCTCGTCTGAGTCCCTAGGGCCTCTGGGGTTATTCAACGACCCGTGGTTTCTGCCAGGACCCCGTGTGCTGTACAGTGACATTATGAAATAAATCAGCCATGGGAAAAAACACTATTATGAAATAAAAGCTGTCTTTGTTAAAAAGACTTTATGTAAGAAAAACTGAATGAATGAAATAAAAATGGCTTAATATTAATTTGGATTATTATGAAAAAATGACTTTTGAAAAAACTTCATATTAATAAAGATATTTTTAAAGAAGAATGAAAAAAATCATAATATTGAGCTCAGATTTTACATAACATTCTTTTATTTCATCATTTCATTGCCAGATTACATGACTGTCTAGTATTTCTTCATGTAGATATTTATTTCATAATGTCTTATTTATTTATTGAATTTTGAATACTTTTGAGTTCCATACTTTCCAAGAAAAAAATGTAAAATATAAGAAAGACTTTAAAAATATGTTTAAAATGTGTTTAAAATGACAAAAATAAATAATAGTAATTGTGATTAAAGTAAGGAAAGGGAGAGAGAACATGAATTTGAAATAGAAAAATCAGTGGATCCCCGGAAAGAGGAATCAGTAGAAAGAGCAGATTTGACTTTTATGGCCAGTGAAAAGCGGATGTGTGTCTCTGTTCCGGTCCCGGGACCACTGACATGTCTATTAGTGATGTGTCGGTCGCGAACGAACCGGCTCTAAGAGCCGGCTCTTTGAAGTGAACGACGGGAGCCGGCTCGTTATTGGGAGCCGTCCCCTCCCCTCCCCCCTCCCCTTTTGCTTTGGTGAAAGCCACAGGCGATTGGTCAGCATGTGTAACTGCGTGTCCAGACTGTCCACACACAGAGCAGTAGGGGCGGGGAAGAGGGAGGATCAGACTCAGACACACAGCAGAGCACATGCGGGCGGAGGGAGACGAGAGGGAATGAGGAGGAGGGAAAAGATGAGAGAGAGAGAGAGAGAGAGAGAGAGAGAGAGAGAGAGAGAGAGAGAGAGAGAGAGAGAGAGAGAGAGAGAGAGAGAGAGAGAGAGAGAGAGAGAGAGAGAGAGAGAGAGAGAGAGAGAGAGAGAGTGATGAAGACGGTGAGAAAATGAGCGCCAGCAGTCGTAAAGTGGAGATTTCTGAAAGTGTTCAGTTATTAAATCCATAGAAATGATAAATATTTGATATATAGCATTTTTTTACATTAGTAAATCATTTTACATATAGTTTTGCATTATTTTGGTTATAAATGTTCTACGCAACAGAAAATGTGAGGAGCCACTTGGGAGCCCAAAGAGCCGGCTCTTTTTGGTGAGATAAGCCAAAAGAACCGGCTCTCTAAAAAAGAGCCGGAATTCCCATCACTAAATTATGCTCGCGACAGCGCGGTTTTATTACGAGCGTATTTTGTCCCCGGCGGCTTTCCATGGCTCACGAGACACCTCCGTTGTCACATGACCCGTTTGCTGTAGCCATCCACTCATTGGCTGAGAATAGTGACGGAGCCCACACTCCACGCTCTGATTGGCCAGCAGGCGTCCGTCACGCAGCGTTTCCTGGTTACTAGTAAATAGAGCCAGACCGTCTTCCGCCAGTCCCACGGTGCCTTTAACGGAGCAGAAGCTAAGATGCCGCTCAGCAGACACCTGCCTCTGCTCGCGTTGTGTCTCTTTGTGACGGCAGACTGCCGGTTTCCCACCCTGGAGCACATCAGGACGAGCGCGAGCGAGGAGGCGCAATCCAGAGCGGTGGCCGGGCTCCTGAGACGGCTGCTGGGGAACAGGTCTTCAGAGTTCGTGGTGTCCGTCAACAGGAGCCTCTCCAACGACAGCCTGGATGTGTGTGAGCTCAGCTCCTCCAAAAACAAGATCCTCGCCACCGGCAGCAGCGGGGTGGCCGTGGCCTCTGGCATCTACAACTACCTGAAGTACTTCTGCAACTGTCACGTTTCCTGGTGTGGGAGGCAGCTGGAGCTGCCCAGTCCTCTGCCCAGGCTCACCGGTGTTCTGCGGATCAACACACCCCACAGGTGAGTTACCTGCTCGGCACGAGGTCCGCCGCTGTGGCCCCCAGACTCTGGAGATCTCTCCCCTTGAGACGGAGACTCACCTGTTCAGGCTCCAGTGGGACCTTCATCACCACCCTCCTCGCGCAGCTGCGTTTGGGCCAGCCCCTCTGACTTTCACTGACACTTCCTAATCTCAGTTCTTACCTCTCTGCCTTTTGTAGACTCTTCTGATGTGGTGCCATACACCTGAACTGATAATTCATCCCTGCCATGACTCATTCATTCCAGGAACACACACACACACACACACACACACACACACACACACACACACACACACACACACACACACACACACACTGCTCCCAACAGTTCCTGCTGTGTCTCATTAAAGGTTTTTATCCTCTGCTCGGCCTTTAATGCTTCATGTGGCTCTTTGCTGCTGTTGGACCTGGATTTCCTGACCGTGAAGACATTTTCTGTTTAATGTCAGATATTTGTATGTGTTTAATTATTTGTTTATATATTTGTTTACTAATGAGAAAACAACCGTTTGCTCTTATTTAGGTTCCGGTATTACCAGAACGTGTGCACCGTCAGCTACTCCTTTGTGTGGTGGGACTGGCATAGGTGGGAAGAAGAGATCGACTGGATGGCGCTCAATGGCATCAACCTGCCGCTGGCTTTTACTGGCCAGGAGGCTCTGTGGCAGGAGGTGAGGGGTGTCGTCCACCTAACCCCACTTTAAAGCGCTTTAAAAGAGGCCATTTAGTGGAGAAGTGCTGAATCAGGATTGGGTTTGACTGAGAACTTGAAGCTGTAGCTGTCATCCTTTAGGTCCTGTAGGACTCCCCTGTCCTGGCGTTAGACGTACTAGGGCTGGGCAGTACATTGAAAATTTATCGTTATCAAAATTTCTGACTCTTATCAGGATAACTTTTCACATGTCAATAAATTTGATAATAAAAAATGAAAAGATGTGCAGGTTTGGCAACGTTCATGTCCCTTTAAGAAGCTGTACCACCTTGAGTCACGTAAAAATGGGAGTCAACTAACACGTGACATCCCCATCTAGTGGACAACTTTCATTTCTGCATACCCGTAGTTATCGTCTATCGTTATCGAGGCTAACGCTTCAATATACGGTGATATTAATGTTAGGCCGTATCGCCCAGCCCTAATTCCTGGGATCCTGCAGCAGCCTCAGATCTGTGGAGTAACTGATGTCTACCTCAGCAGAGCAGACCGTTTGTCGTCTGCATGTTGGACGTTTTCATGGCTCAGCTTCAGTGGTAGCTGCTGTAAAACTAAACCTGACGTTAATACTGGATCCTAACTCGGCGTCCACGGACGAGGTGTGCTCCAGATTGTTGATTAGAAAACAACGAAGGGACTCTACAGGTGGTTTTGTAGACAGCAGACTGCTGTGACTAAAGCACAGATAGACGTGTTTGATGTTTGAATGAACTCATGTTCTTTTGAATCTGTAGGTGTATCGCGCTCTTGGATTGAACGAGTCCGAGATAGAAGAGTTTTTCTCCGGACCGGCGTTCCTGGCTTGGAATCGCATGGCAAACATGAAAAAGTTTGGTGGACCTCTGCCCCAGTCCTGGCATGTGAACCAGCTGGTTCTGCAGGTACCGACCCAGACTAGTTTTTACATCTAAATGCTGTTTCAGTCTAATTGGTCTTTTAAAAACTGCAGAAATGCAACAAAACATTTTAAAGGGCCCATATCATGCTACGTCTACTTTTTGGAGCTTTTGACCATGTTATTATTTCCTTATATTTTTGGCTTCAAGCGTGCCTTCTGCTGTCGGAGCAGCTGGTTCTTGCTGGTCTGCCCAGCTATTGCAAACAGGGTGATGCGGCATGTTTGTGACGCCAAGTCCCGTTGGTTCCCACCTGGGTAGTGCCTAACCTGCACACTCCGCCCCTGTGTGCTAAACGCTAACAAACGGCGGGTGATTTCAATCTCCACAGTTGTGGGAAAAATAAATCTTTCTTGTCTAGTCTGAGCTGTTGGTAATTCCTAAAACATGAAAAAGCGTTTCAGCTGCAAGAGGAAAGGGTTGGATCTTCAGGAGCTCTCTAAAACCAAGCCAGAATGTGACTGTGATGTCACAGAGCGCTTGGTAAGCCCCCACCAGTACCAGAGTGGGTTTTCAGACGGATTACCTCCTCGAACTGGCGCCTCTCCAACGTTAAAACCACCCAATGGAGAGCAGTGCGTTCAACCCAAATGCTAGCTGCTAGCTGAATATTTATAAGACAGGGTTCTCAACCCTGGTCCTCAGCGCCCCCCTGGCCTCCATGTTTTCCATGTTGCCCTTTCAAACACTAGTTTGTCTGCTGTCACACACCTGACCTAAATAAAGACTGATTAACAGGCTTCTGCAGCTCTTGACGTCCTCCTGAGGAGACTGCTCAACTCTGTAAATCAGGTGTGCTTGAAGCAGAGGCAGAAAACTTGCAGGACAGGGGGCGCTGAGGGCCAGGGTTGAGAAACCCGGTTATGAGGTTTAGTGGGTGAGCGTCAGGGATGGACTGGGACAATAATTTAGGCTGGGAGAACAGATGAGGAAATTAGCATCAGAGCGGTCAGGAGGGAGGCGGATGCCCTAATTGGCCGCATGGTGGACTGTCTATTTAAAAATCAAGCACGACCTATCCTGAGTGTCAGCAGTCACCGAGTGGGCCAGAGAGGTGGCCAGGCCACCGGGAAATGACCCGGCTGTTCCCAATGGCCAGGCCATCGTTGGCGTGCGTGTTGCCAAAGCTGCTTTCTTTTTCCTTCTTCATGGCCTGGGATGTGCTGCTGGAAATCTAGGGCTACCTCACCAAGAAAAGGGTGGAACTCGCAAGACCCGACCGGTTTGGCTGTTAACCACAGTGTCAAGCACTGCGGTGAATCCACCATCAAGACAACTCCAACACAGCAGAGAAAGAAACTCCTGGAACCGAAGACAAATACAAGCGCGACTGGAATGGAAGCGTGCGGATCAGAGCCAGAACAACCACCACCCGGACTACCATGTCGTCCTAGGAGGCGCCTGAAGTCTCAAAGATGCTAAAGGAGGAATTCAATCAATCAATCAAAGCTTTAGTTATAAAGCGCCTGTCGGGAAGCCCAAGGTGCTGAACATGGTACATGAGAAAGTTAAATATGGTGAATAAATCGAAAATAAAAGCAATTCAAATAGTGCAAAAAAAGATAAAACATTCTAGTAGAAGACAAACGGGTAAAACAAGGGAATAGAGTGAACCAATGAAAACAGGGAAATAAAATCAACATAAAAGAGGGCCGAATCAAACATGTTCAGGAAACGCCAAGCGGAGGTGGTGTGTTTTTAGGTGATTCTTAAAGACTGGCAGAGATGGGGACAGCCTAACTGAGGGTGGCAACTGGTTCCAGAGTAACGGTGCTAGGACTGAGAAAGCCCGGTCCCCGCGGGTATGACACCTAGAACGAGGGACAGCGAGCAGGTCTTGGTCAGAGGAGCGCAGAGCGCGTGATGGGGAATGTTTGTTCAGGAGCGTGGCCAGATAGGGGGGAGCACCACCCTGGAAGAAATGATAAACAAAGACGAGGAGTTTGAAGTGTGAACGATAAGAAACCGGAAGCCAGTGCAGGGAGGCCAGAACCGGACTGATGTGGTCCCGTTTCCTGGTCCCAGTCAGGAACCTGGCTGCGCTGTTCTGCACAACCGTGTGAATTCAGAACGGTAGTTCGTCCATCTGCAGAGATGGCAGAGAAAAGTCGCAAGACCCTTGTTTCATCATCTCTGACATCATCGTGTGGACAAATAAGCTCCGACTGAGCCAGATTAGTGACTGAAGTGACTTGATAGTAATATTAGAAAAGTCCAGCGACCGAAGGTTCATTTACTAGTGTTGGACTATGTTTCATCTGCATTTGGGGAGCGAGCGCCTGGTGGCCGGGCTTTCGCCCATGGGGCCCGGCCGGGCCCAGCCCGAACCGGATACATGGGCTCGTCCAACTGTGGACCCACCACCCGCAGGAGGAACATGAAGGGTCCGGTGCAATGTGAATCGGGTGGCAGACCAAGGCGGGAGCCTTGGCGGTCCAATCCCCGGACAAGAAAACTAGTTTTTGGGACATGGAACGTCACCTCGCTGGCGGGGAAGGAGCCGGAGCTTGTGGCAGAGGTTGAGCGGTACCGGCTAGATATAGTCGGACTCACCTCGACACATAGCATTGGCTCTGGAACCCGAGACCTGGAGAGGGGTTGGACACTCTACTTTGCTGGAGTTGCTCCGGGTGAGAGGCGGAGGGCTGGGGTTGGCTTTTTGTTAGCCCCGAGACTCTCTGCCTGTGTGTTGGGGTTTACCCCGGGGGACAAGAGGGTAGCTTCCTTGCGCCTTCGGGTCGGGGAACGGGTCCTGACTGTTGTTTGTGCTTATGGGCCAAATATCAGTTCAGAGTACCCACCCTTTTTGGAGTCCCTGGGACGAGTGCTAGATAGTGCTCCATCAGGGGACTCCATTGTCCTGCTGGGGGACTTCAATGCTCACGTGGGCAATGACAGCTTGACCTGGAGGGGTGTGATTGGGAGGAACGGCCCACCTGATCAGAACTCGAGCGGTGTTTTGTTATTGGACTTCTGTGCAAGCCGCAGTTTGGCCATAACGAACACCATGTTCGAACATAAGGATGCCCACCGGTACACTTGGTACCAGGGCAGCCTAGGTCACAGGTCGATGATAGATTTTGTAGTCGTATCATCTGACCTGCGGCCGTATGTTTTGGACACCCGAGTGAAGAGAGGGGCGGAGCTGTCAACTGATCACCACCTGGTGGTGAGTTGGATCAGATGGCAAGGGAACATGCCGCGTAGACCTGGCAGACCCAAACGCATAGTGAGGGTCTGCTGGGAACGCCTGGCAGAAGAACCTGTCAAGACGGTCTTCAACTCCCACCTCCGGCAGAGCTTTGACCACGTCCCGAGAGCAGTGGGGGACATTGAGTCCGAGTGGGCCTTGTTCCACTCTGCGATTGTCGAGGCGGCTGTTGCTAGCTGTGGTCGTAAGGTGGCCGGTGCCAGTCGTGGTGGCAACCCCCGTACCCGCTGGTGGACACCAGAGGTTCGGGGAGCCGTCAGGCTGAAGAAGGAGGCCTACAGGGCGTGGCTGGTCTGTGGGTCTCCGGAGGCAGCAGACAGGTACCGGATAGCCAAGCGGGGTGCAGCAGTGGCAGTTGCCGAGGCAAAATCTCGGGCGTGGGAGGAGTTTGGTGAGGCCATGGAGAAAGACTATCGATCGGCTCCAAAGAGGTTCTGGCAAACTGTCCGGCGCCTCAGGAGAGGAAGGCAGCAACTCGCTCACACTGTTTACAGTGGGGATGGGGAGCTGCTGACGTCAACTGAGGCTATAGTCAGACGGTGGAAGGAATACTTTGAGGAGCTCCTCAATCCCACCAATGCGCATTCCGAGGAGGAACCAGAGCTGGGAGGCCTGGGGATGGACTGTCCGATCTCGGGGGCAGAAGTTGCTGAGGTAGTCAAACAACTACACAGCGGCGGAGCCCCGGGGGCGGATGAGGTTCGTCCTGGGTATCTCAAGGCTATGGATGTTGTAGGGCTGTCATGGTTGACACGTCTCTACAACATTGCGTGGTCATCGGGGGCAGTTCCTAGGGAGTGGCAGACCGGGGTGGTGGTCCCCATCTTTAAGAAGGGTGACCTGAGGGTGTGTTCCAACTATAGGGGGATCACACTCCTCAGCCTCCCTGGAAAGGTCTACTCCAAGGTACTGGAGAGGAGGGTCCGATCGATAGTTGAATCTCAGATAGAGGAGGAGCAATGTGGTTTTCGTCCTGGCCGTGGAACTGTGGACCAGCTCTATACCCTTGCAAGGGTGATGGAGGGGGCATGGGAGTTTGCCCAACCAATCCACATGTGCTTTGTGGATTTGGAGAAGGCTTATGACCGTGTCCCCAGGGGCACCCTGTGGGGGACGCTCCAGGAGTATGGGGTGGGTGGCTTTCTGTTAAGGGCCATTCAGTCCCTTTACCAGAGGAGCGTGAGTTTGGTCCGCATAGCCGGTAGTAAGTCGGACCTGTTCCCAGTGAGGGTTGGACTCCGCCAGGGCTGCCCTTTGTCACCGGTTCTGTTCATCACTTTTATGGACAGAATTTCTAGACGCAGCCGTGGTGTGGAGTGTGTCGAGTTTGGTGGCAGGAGAATCTCGTCTCTGCTTTTTGCGGATGATGTGGTCCTCCTAGCTTCATCCAGCTCTGACCTTCAGCTCTTGCTGGGTAGGTTCGCGGCCGAATGTGAAGCGGCTGGGATGAGGATCAGCACCTCCAAATCTGAGACCATGGTTCTCGACCGGAAAAGGGTGGCTTGCCACCTCCGGGTCGGGGGAGAGGTCCTACCTCAAGTGGAGGAGTTTAAGTATCTCGGGGTCTTGTTCACGAGTGAGGGTAGGAGGGATCGGGAGATCGACAGGCGGATTGGTTCGGCATCTGCAGTGATGCGGACGCTGAGCCGATCTGTCGTGGGGAAGAGGGAGCTGAGCCAGAAAGCCAGGCTCTCGATTTACCGGTCGATCTACGTCCCAATCCTCACCTATGGTCATGAGCTTTGGGTAATGACCGAAAGAACGAGATCGCGGATACAAGCGGCCGAAATGAGTTTCCTCCGTAGGGTGGCCGGGCTCAGCCTTAGAGATAGGGTGAGGAGCTCGGACATTCGGGAGGGACTCGGAGTAGAACCGCTGCTCCTCCGGATCGAAAGGAGCCAGTTGAGGTGGTTTGGGCATCTGGTCAGGATGCCTCCTGGACGCCTCCCCGGGGAGGTGTTTCGGGCATGTCCTGCCGGCAGAAGGCCCCCGGGTCGACCCAGGACACGTTGGAGAGGTTACATCTCCAATCTGGTCCGGGAACGCCTTGGGGTCCTGCCGGAGGAGCTGGTGGAGGTGGCCGGGGAGAGGACGGCCTGGAGCTCCCTAGTTGGGATGCTGCCCCCGCGACCCGGACCCGGATAAGCGGAGGAAGACGAGACGAGAAGCTCAGAAGGTAGAGCGGGTTGTCCAGTAATCTGAAGGCTGCAGGTACGATCTCGGCTCCCGCCCGAAAATTCTGCTGTTGTCTCCTTGGGCAAGACACTTAAGTTTTAGCTGTTTTTGAGAAGCTGATGAGGAGCCTACCTCAGGACCGGTCTGCTGGTGGCAGGCATCGTAAAAACGTTAGCTGCGGCTAAAATAAAGGCCACCAAGTTATTTTTATTCTGGAAAAGCCATGACGGTAGGAGGCAACATGCCGGATTATATGATTAGATAGGGATTGGTTTAAAAAGGCATAATTTCAGACTGACTCTGCTTTTCCTGTGTGATAAATTAGTCCTTCCTTCTTACAGTTTCAAATCCTGGAGCGAATGAGAGATTTTGGGATGATTCCTGTGCTGCCGGCTTTCTCCGGGAACATTCCCAGAGGAATTCTCAGGTGACTAACTTGTGTTTGAATAATGTATTTTATTTATTCTGTTCACAAGAAGGTCTGCATGGTGGCACAGTGGTTAGCACTGTTGCCTCGCAGCACAAAGGTTGCAGGTTCGAAACTGGGCTCGGCTGCGGCCTTTCTGCGTGGAGTTGCGTGTTCTCCCCATGCATGCGTGGGTTTCCTCCGGGTACTCCGGTTTCCCCCACAGATCACAACATGCCCTATAGGTTATAAATTGTAAGTCACTTTGGATAAAAGCGTCTGCTAAATAAATAAACATAAACAAGAAAAACAGCAAAGAGCATCGTGGTTCATTCTGGTTGGATGTCTCGAGAAAGGTCGTGAAATTAAATATGAAAAACACCTGCTGAGGAAACAAGGACATGTTTAAATGTGTGGACATATTTCCACATCTCCTCTCCTTAAGTAACGGTCACCAACCTGGTGCTGGTCTGTTGCCAGAAGACACCAGCCGTGTGAAGCTAAGAACCACACAAAGCATGGAGCATTTCAAAGCATTACTTGAAACATTCTTGTTTGATCTGGCTTTCAATGCAGGCTGACTTGAGTAGTTAGCCTCTGTTTTGATTAGACTTGCGTTTTTATCTTGTACTCTTAGCATTAAATACATTTTTACAAGTTTTAACCTTGATTTTAACTGCAATTTGTTCTTGATTGTGTTTATTTTAATGTATTTATTTATTTTGACCCTTTTTTGGCACTTTGGGGTTGCCGGTGTCGGTACAGGATCTGCTCGGGTGCAGGATCGGATCGGGGTCCTTCCACTGCCGATGACGTCATAGTAGTTGATTGGCTGAACATGAACCTTACGGAAGTGACGTTGTCACGTTATGATTTTGATTGGTCAGAACAAATTTGTGGTCGGAGTCTTAGCGGTTGTAGTCCTGTAGTCCAGAAATCAACAGTTTTTGGAGAAAATATGTTTGAATTTCTAAAGAAAATGTAAAATAAAAGCAAATGATAAACGGTGACCCTCAGAAGCTCTTGATGGTGATGAAATGGGGCAAAATAAAATATAAGAACTTTATTGAGACACCAAGCAATATTTAGAGTCAAAGAATGTATTTAGATAACAACTAAGGAAATATACAGACGAGCTCCACATGAATACAAACAGACGTGGCTTCACATATAAGAACTGTTCTGTTGTTTGTCAGTCTGATGTTGGTTTTATGCAGTTTCACATTCTTTACAAGACAAAGATAATATGGTGTTTTAGCACAGGGTATCCGCGAGTCCTTAAAAAGTCTTAAATGTGCTTTTCCAAATTTAAGACTTTAAAAATCCTTAAAAATGACAAATAATCCTTAAATACAGTTTCCAAAGGTCTTAAATTACCAAAGACCCAATAAACAAGATGCTTTTATTTCTATAAAAATTTCGTGAATTTCTAGTTAGTGTTCAGCATTTTTTGTGTACGATATTGGCGTAAGCGGAACCGTATACATTCAGTGAAAGGGGGCTATTTTTAGATAAGCACATTAGCTGGTTAAGCTAGTGGGAGCTTGCGCCATGGGGAAGTGCAAGTTTAATGGTAACTGGATGGCTAATGCCACGTTCGCGACGTTCCAGGCAATAGCTGGAAATCATAGCTTAAATTTAATTTAAAAAAACAGCTTGAATTTGGTCAAAGTGGCCTTACAAAGGTCTTAAAAAGTCTTAAATTTGGCTCCCTTAAACCTGCAGATACCCTGTATTAACAAATTACAATTATAAAGAAAACATTTAGGTGTTAACAAACAAGAATTTATTAACAAAACTGCTGATGTCGTTCCAAAACGTGTGTGTGAAAGCCGAGTAGATTTGCAGTAATGTGACGTCATCGGCAGTCGAAGGACCCCGAGCCGATCCTGCACCGACACCTGCATAAATGTGCTATAGAAAATTGACCTTTACCTTGACGTGTGTTGTTGTTGTTGGTGGGGGGGTCATTGCTTGCGAACCGTTTCACTGCCGTGCGTTGTCCGTTATAGCCAGGGGGGAGTTGTTGCGTGCGTAGCCCTTTCCTTCCATGCATGTGTGTATGTGGGTGGGGATGTCGTAGGCATGGCACTGGAATTCCAGCCGTTGCGACCCACCACCCCAACCAGCCTCACTCATCTCGACTCACAAAGGGGAAGTCTGTTGTTGGTTTAGCATCCAGGAAGTAGCAGAGAACTAGCCTGGAAAGCCAGACTAAATAAATGTATTATTTAGTCTGGCAACGCTCCATTGGCGGCTCTCGGTTGTGGGGCGGGTTCTACCGTTGTCTTTCAAATGATCTCCGCATTCCACTGGACAATGAATGTGACATACTCTTGTTTCACTCTGTTGCATCATCCCACCCACCAGGCATAGAGAGTGCCCTGATTGGCCCTCAAAGCAGATAAAGCTCTGTGATTTGTTCACTAAGCAGATAGAGCACTATGATTGGTCCATAATGGTGGGCCAATCACAGCTCTTAATGTGTTTGAAACCCCTCTAGAGAGCTGTGATTGGCTAGCCAGAGTCCTGGTAGGAGCTGCTGAGGTTCCAATGGAGCGTGCCTAGACCAAACTTTGCAAAGCAAGAATTTGGTCTAGTTCACTAGGCTAGCAGAGAACATCTTGACTGGTAGAAGCTAACCATTAGCAACTCTACCACACAGCAGAACTCCTCCAGACTTGTTATTTGTTAAGATAAATCATCAACGTTGGAGAGCAAACCGAGTCAGTGGTAGAGTCGTGTTGCTGTTAGCCAATCAGAGGAGAGATTTCAGGAAATAGGGAGCCTAAGAATGAAAAAATGAATGCAAGTCAACAGGGCTATAAACACATTCTAATTCCACTTGTGATGTGCCATGGATTTCACATATGATGTTCGTGAATTTTAAAGATGCATTTTCATACCAAGAACGCGCTTATTTTCAAACAGGGGGAAACGCTATTTTAGGTTTTGTGTGAAATAAGTCCAGGACTAGAAATGCGCTTCACGAAAGTGACGTCATCGAAGCAGCAAGTAAGTTAAGCAAACCTAAAATCCTTCCTTCAGGAGGAAAGAACCACCATAAATTTGGCCATGTGGTGAGTAGCAGCTACCTAGGAGGGAGGAGATTATGTGGTGACATCACATATGCAACGTGCCGATTTCTAGTTTATAGTCATGCTAATTACGAACTTTTACAAGCTGATAAATCTCAAAGTACGTGACTGGCGTGGTCGAAACACCCATCATTAGTTTTCATTTAAACTGCAGTACAACATGTGTGATCCAGGGTTTAAGGCAAAGCGGGTTAGAAAATAGCGTTTTTAGCCTTGTATTCAGTATTTCGTTCTTCGGGGGACCCATGAGCCGACCGGAAAGGGAGGAGACTAGGCTCTCTATATTATAAAATGAATATCAGGAAATAAGACTCCAAATACAGCCATCTGCTGCTCATGTCTGCTCTGGCTGAATTTTTGTCTGGAGTTCAAGACTTTTTTTTTTACACAAAGACAGACTTATTCATTTCTACTAGGGACCACTGCAACTGTATCAGAAAAATGAGGGAGCTTGGTCTTTAAAATCCCACGTGTTTTAGGGCTGGGCAAAACGATTATTTTTGTAATCGATTAATCTAGCGATTATTTTTTCGATGCATCGATTAATCTAGTGATTAATTTGTGATTTTGATTAGATTCAATTGTTGATTATTTCCCCATTATTTGATTTGTATAGCAGTTTGATTATTACTAATTTATGTATCTCAATTAAATAAATGCAAATTTCTTCATTTGAACACATTTTTATAAAAAAATTCAAAAATAAAGTTGTTGTAATAGTAGTACAATCTCATGTTAGAGATAGCATTTAACAAAAAATACAATGTTGTGCAAACTATTCATATAAATCAAGGAAAATTTATAACAAAAATAAGTAAAATGAATAGCAGCAATGGCGTCTTTTAACAAATAAAATCTAACATGGCTTTCCGCAAAACAGTGTTCTTCTTTATCAAAATAAAATCAATTTAGCCTTTTCTTTTGTTCATCACATGAAGTAGTTTTGCATTGTAGTTTTAATTAAAAAAAATCCAAAATAAAGTAGTAGTACAATCTTATTTTGGAGGTAGCATTTAACAAGAAATTAAATGTTGTGCAAAACAACAAAAAATAAATAAAATTTAAACAGCAGCAATGGTGTCTTTGAACAAAAAATTGTAACATTCACTTTGCTCCCTGCAAAAAAAAGTGCTCTTTAACAAAATAACATCCATTTTGCTCCCATCTCTCGTGTGTGTGTGTGTGTGTGTGTGTGTGTGTGTGTGTGTGTGTGTGTGTGTGTGTGTGTGTGTGTGTGTGTGTGTGTGTGTGTGTGTGTGTGTGTGTGTGTGTGTGTGTGAGTGTGTGCGTGTGCGTGTGTGTGAGTGTGTGTGTGTGTGTGTGAGTATGTGCGTGCGTGTGTGTGTGTGTGTGTGTTTTCACAAACAGAAAAAAGCCTTTCAGAGGGTGTTGATGTGGCAGGTTGAGCCGGACATGATTTGGCTAAAGTAGCCAGTGTGGGGAATCTTGTATTATTCTTCCACCATGTAAGGGGTCATTATCGCTTGGAATAGGTGCTTCCCCAAAGTACAACAGTACCTCTTTCCTCACTGTCACTTTTTCTCCATCCCCACCCTGGTCAGTGTTTTCATTACAATCTTCCTCCTCAGAATCTGTTCCCAACAAAGTGTCCAACACAGACCTCTTCTTTGTTGGGGGACTTGAGGCTTCCTGCCCCACCGTTGCCTGCTGTAGCTGTGTCTCTGCTCCCTTTTAAGGTCAAGTGCATCCTTCTGTACTCTTACTTGCAGTTTCAGAGCATTCACTTTTCTTCCTTTGAACTGCAGCTGATTAAAGTCGGGCGTAAGGACCCGTTCTACTGTGCTGTGGTCTATCATCCACCTGGTCCAAACAGTTCTTTCCTTCAGGAGTTTAGTGACTTTCTATCCTCCACTGTGAAGCTGTCCAGGTTGGTGATTGTTGGTGACTTTAACATCCACGTTG